ATGTCTTAGGTTTTGTGAGAGTAGAGAAATTGGAGAGGTAGGCTTGATTGTGTTCTGGCAAATGTGTGTAGTTGATATTACTTGAAATTGGATAGGCAATATGTCCTGATGGTTTCAGACCAGTGACATAATCTTTGAGCCAAATTGCTGGTTTTGTGCCCCTGGTGGATTTCCTAAGAATGGGAGCTTCTGCATTGATAGTAGGTGCAACTGACTGTGATTGTTGAGTGGTACCTTGCTATTCCTGCAAATCTGCTTCAGCTTCCTGCAAATTGGTCAGAGGTTAACTACAATATCTTCTGATGTATTTGAAGTAGGTGCATCAAAATCCTGCAAGTTCAACCAAAACTGCATCTGATAGATCTGTAGTAGCAATGCTTAGTTGAGGGAGGAGAGTAGGGATTCATTCTTCCTCCATATTTCCATTGCCTAGGTCTTTTTGTGAGTCAACAGGGACACCATATGCTCTTAGTGTATCAGTGTTTATATTCGTTGGTGCAAGAATAAACAAATCCTCCTGGCAAACTTCCTCACCTTGGAAAGGAAAGACATCTTCTCTAAAAGTTACATCCCTGCTGACAAAGAAAGTGTTAGATTCTAAATCAAAAAGATCGTATCCTTTTTGTGTCTCTGAGTACCCCATCATTACTGCTCTTCTGGCTCGAGCAGCAAACTTGTCACCTCTAGGAAGGGTATTTGCATAGCATAAACAACCAAATACTCTTAAATGATCTATGCTTGGTTGTTTGCCATACAACTGCTCATAGGGAGATCTTTTGTTCAAAACCTGTGTGGGTATCTTGTTGATGAGATACACTGCTGTTTTAATACATTCTCCCCAGAATCTAATTGGCACATTACATTGAAGCTTGAGTGCTCTAGCCACATCAAGGATATGTCTATGTTTTCTTTCCACCACTCCATTCTGTTGTGGAGTGTATGGACAGCTGCTTTGATGAACAATCCCAAGTGCTTTAAACAAGTCACTACACTGACTATTGAAAAACTCTGTACCATTGTTTGTTCTCAATGTCTTAACCATCACACCAAACGATTTTTTACTAAAGAAAGAAAGTCTTTCAGCACAACAAAAACTTCACATTTGGACTTTAACAAACAAGTCATGTATATATACTATAGTCATCAACTAAAGTAACAAAATATTATTTTCTATCATAAGTTGCTACTTTGTAAGGACCCCATACATCAGCATGCACCAATTGAAACACACAGTTTGAACTACTGTTACTTATGGGAAAACTCAGTCTGCTTTGTTTAGCTAAAGGGCAAATTGACATTCCTTTTGCATCTCCAGCCTCACTTTATTCTTCAAATCTGGCAAATGCTGCATAGCATGTGTAGAGGCATGTCCTAGCCTTTGATGCCACAATGTGGTTGTTACTCCTTCTCTGTGAAATGAACCAGCAGCAACTACATCTCCTCTACTAAGTATGTAAAGTCCACTATCTTCTCTACCAATCCCCAACACCCTGCCACTGTATAGTCCCTGAAATACACAAAAATCAGGGAAAAAACATGCAGAGCAACATAGGTCCTTAGTCAGCTTGGATACTGAGAGTAAGTTGAACTTAAAGTTTGGCGCATATAACACATTCTTGATTTTCTGATTCCCTAAGATTGTAGCATCTCCAGCATGTGTGATTTCAGATCTATCTCCTGTAGGTGTTTGTACTCCAAAACTATTCTGTCCTTCTACAGGTCTAATAAAATCCAATACACTCTTGCAAAATGTTATGTGGTGTGATGCACCTGAGTCTATTATCCAATCATATACATATACATTGGACACATTAGACATCAATTACATAATACCTGCCATGTTTGAAGATCCAGTTAACTCTGATGGGCCTGCACTCCTCTCTTCTGATGAAGTTTTCTCCAACAGGCTTAGCAACTGTTTGTACTGTTTTGTTGTGAGATAGTTTCCCTGTGGCTGATTTCTGGCTTCAACACCTGCATCTGTGTTAATATTGTTAGCAAAAGGTTTATATGTACCTAGTTGAACTTTCTTCTTGCTCTTGAAATCTGGAGGATAGCCTATTATTTTGTAACAATGTTCCTTCAAATGGCCTTTATAACCACAATGCTCGCAGATCATCCCTGGCTTCTTGCCTTTGAACATCTGACCCCTTCCTGCTAACATTGTTAGTGGTTCCTTATTTGTTTCTACAACACCTAGTGTTCTTTGATTTTCTTCCTGCACAGCTACTGCATATGCTTGATTAACTGACAAAACTGGCCTTCTCTGCAGTATATTGCTCCTTACTTGATTGTAACTCTCATTGAGTCCCATGAGAAACTGCAGCAATCTTTGCCTCACTAGATGTTCCACATAAGGCCTCGATTCTTCACAGTCACAAGAAGGTAATGGTGCCAAAATGTCTAACTCATCCCACAGATCTTTCATTTTTGAGAAGATGAGGTAACTGACTCAGTTCCTTGCTTTAGGCTTGCAATCTCAGCCCAAAGATGATAGATTCGAGTCAAATTATCCTTGTCAAACCTCTCTTTGAACTCATCCCATACTTTCTTCGCACTAGAAGCATACATGATGCTAGGCACCAACTCACCTGCTACAGTGCCACTCAATCAGGAAGCCACAACAGCATTACATCTTTCCCATTGTGTCTCCAACTCTCCTTTGTACGATCTCTTTACACATGTACCGTCCACAAACCCTAGCTTGTTCTTCACTAACAGTGCAACCCTCATCGCTCTGCTCCATAGGGCATAGTTTTCCAGCCCTGTGAGCTTCAACGAGATCAATGTTGTGCCAGGTGCATCTGAATCTCGAAGAAGCAGTGGGTGATTGTGAGGTAGTTGTGCAATTTCATCTGTCGCCATAGCTGAACTCAAAATTCTGCAATTTCTAAAAATTCTGCAACTTCAATCACTTCGATCTACGCAGTTATAGCGATCGAGGCTCTGATACCATGTTAATTTGTTGAATCTACACACAATGATCCTAGATTGATAGCATGCAATCGAATTTAGAGAAGAATTATGAAGGATCTAGAAGAAGGAAATGAGGAGAAGACAAATTCGTTTTTGCTTCTGTTGAAGAAGAAGAAAGAATACAACTGATTTTGGAGGGGCACTGTTTATTTAACAGAAAACACGTGCCCCTTCCCACTTTCTAATATTATGACCCTCAACTTTCTTTCTTTACACTTAGGTCCCTCTAATAGCTTTCTAACTAACTAACAACTAACTCTAACTAGTGTTCTTGATACATTCTTTACAAAAAAATAAAGGTTTTTGAAGTACTTTCTGAAAATATTTTTAAAAAGCTTTATTATAAGCAAACAGATGTGGTCTTGGGGAATATAAAATAGGGTGTTTTGTATTAAATAAACCCATGGTTATATATATTTTTTTTGATAAGTTCTGATAAACCACTGGAATTTAGAAACACCATTGTCTTAAATGCAAAACCAAAAATATAGAATCTGAAGCAAGCTAATTTAATTAGCTGTAAATGCGCCCTTGTAATCTTAATGAATGTGGACAGAAACTATGACAGATGAAACAGCCACCAAACAACTCGTGATCCCAACAGTTTTCAAAAACCTTACGTCTAATTATATTGTTTCCCCCCTTTTCCAATTTCCACTTCAAAAACATGACGTTTCCGAGCCACCGCATCCCACCAACTCCATCATAGATTTGGAGACTTGACGTCTAGGATTAAAATATTTAAAGGAATCATTCTCATATATTGATAATGTAAATTTGATCAAGCATAAATATTTGATATTCTTATATTATACTCATTCCGTCACATTTATGTGATCATGTTTGTTTTGAAACGGATTAAAACGGCAAAGAATATTTTGACAGAAGAGTTTGGAGTTCGAGAGTCAAATTTCATAATCTTAACCGTAAATTCGAGAATAAAATTTTTAAGCTTTTTAAAAAAATAATTTTACCTATTTGAAAACTATATAAAAAGTACTATAAGTCATAATAATCAATAATTTAAAATAGTTAAAAGACATATGAAAAAATTGCAATAAAAAAATTATTCATTTGATCCTCAAATTTTGAATTATATCATTCTTTTTGGGACGAAAAGAATAATAAAAATATAAAAATGAGAGATGATAAGAGTTATTTCACATGTCCCTTCAACATTAGTCTAGTAAAAATCGGCTTTATATTATATGAATGGAGTTTCAACGAGTTCCAACAAGAATAAATGGGAATTATAAGATTAAATAGTTTTCCTATAGTACATGAAAAAATGTTAATCTTCGGTGCAAAATTAAAAAGGAAAGAAAATGTAATACGAAATGGGAAGGAGAAAGCATTTGTTATTTAAAGCTAATTGAGCTAAAAAAGAAATCTAAAGAAGGTAATCAATAAAATAATACTTTAAAATTACAAAACGGCCACCATTCGGTTTGGGTCAATAAGTCAATTATCATCAACTTAATGGAAGACTAGACTACAGCCCCATTTATGTGTTCGAGTTAATTATTAATATAGTTTAATTTAAAAATGGATAAGTGGGCTTCATACATGCCACAGAAAGTGATGTAGAAAAGAATAATTCATTTCTATGCCTTCCACCGAAGAAGAAAAGGTGGAACTGTTTACTACATTTAATTAATTTACTTCCCACATTTTCCATGAAATTCATACTGCTTCTTTACTTCGTTTTCCATTTCAAACTTCTCTCCTATTCTTTCTAACACACGGAAATATGGCATGACCCATTAACCTAATCCATTATCGTTTAATTAAATGTATTTTGGATCCTCTTTGTCAAACTTGACAGTCTAATTCACATATATAGTTTTAAAATACTAATTAAGGTTACAGACTTTAATTAAAGTACTAGAGAAAACGCCATGGTTTAGACGTAATGGTAATGCACAATTTTTTTTGTTGAAATGATTGCAATTTTTATAAAAGCACGTAGTACTTAATTTTAACCGACGCGGTGCTTGTAATTTACAAATTTTAATTTTACAGTGCTACTTAAAAAAGAGAAGAATGGGATTGACCCTGATATTACGTGCAAAAACAGTTCCTAGGATGTCTGCCCACAATGTTTTGTTTACAAACACCAGAGGAACTGCCAAAACTTCTGTCCTTCCAAATATTTTCTTTGCTGCTCGGAGGTCCGCCACCTGGTTCAGCTCTTTGAAATTATGTCCTAGTGCTGGATTCCCCAATTGCTCCATCAATGACCTACATTCAAAAATAATAGAGTCATAATGGAGGTTTTCCCTCATTTAGTATCCTTACAACTTGTTCAGAATCAGTGCCGATTTGTAGAGGTCTGAAGTTATGTCAAGGGCTATCTTGAGATCCTGCCAGAGTGAATGAAGTTCAGCCTCTATACTGGTGGTATCTGGTACACCCCTTATGTGTCCTAGCACACAGTCACCCCTGTTGTTCCTGAAGACTCCCCCAGCCCCTCCTACTCCTGTTTTATGGCAAGCAGCCCCATCTGTGTTTAGCTCATAGGATCTATTAGGTGGAGGCTCCCATTTAATGTGTATTGCATTGCTTTCCCCTTTATCCCTGTGGTGGACAACAACATGATAATACTCAGTAGCTCTAGCAATGGTTTCTCTAACATGGGTACAATTTTTCTTTTTGTCAAAGACATTATTTTTCCTACTGAGCCATAAGCTCCAAAAGCAGAAAGGCAGGAGAGATTTCCCGTCAATAACATCATTAAAGCACATGTTCTTGACCTTGTGCCATGTTTGTTCCCAATGAACCATTGAAATCACAAGGTATGGGTGACAAACCTGGTTTGTACACTTCTGTGACAGGGATAGCCAGAATATTTTTACATTGATGTATTTAAAGAAAATGTGATTTATGTCTTTCACTCCACAGGAGAAAAATAGCATATTGGGCTTACATTTAAGCCAATGCTGTTTAGGTGGTTAGCAGTAGGAAGTCTGTTATGTTGCATCATCCAATTGAATATTTTTATCTTATTAGGGAATTTTAGTTTCCAAATCCATCCAAAAGAGTCATCTAGGCTATTACTGGGGTTTAGCTCAGAACTAATGAGGTTGTAGGCTGATTTAGAGCTAAAACTCCATCTCCATTGATGATAACAACACGATAGGGGTCCAAGAACTACTAAAAAAATCAAGAAATATGCGGACTCTAAAAGAAAATAAAGAAACAAAAAGGATGAAACTTAAAGATAGATTGAATTCAAGAAGTCTATTCTTGAAGTTGAATCTTAACAACAACAATTAGCTAACGAAAAACTAACCGCCTTTGGTAAAAAAAATTAAAAATAAGAGATGGATTGTGAAACCCGACCCTTTAGAATAACAAGAACAACAATAAGCCTGAACTTATCACCTTTCTTGAATACTTAGAACTGATCTACAATTTCGAAAAGAATTCATCTTACCACCTTAAGTTGCTTCTTGAAAGTTGAAGAATAAATCCAATAATAGTCACACACAAGAGTGCAAGAAAAATCTCACAATTTCTATTGATATTTTCTATAATCTATCTCTAAAAATAAAGAAGATACCCCTTTATATAGAGAGAGGTCACGAAATTGAACCTAAAAGACAAGGAAATAACGTCCTAAACTACTTTGGATAACAAGTCCAATTACCTTAGGAAAAAAGATACTAGGAAACAAAAACCAAGCCAAACTTGGAAAATAACTCCAACAATTTAGGAAAAGAAAAATATAACCTTAACTATCTAGGAAAGCAACAAATCTTGTACCAAAATATATGGAAATAAGTTAAAATCAATCGAAGATAGGATCTTGAAAGTCCAAACCAATCTTGCTAGGATCTTGGAAATCTTGAGGGCAACTTGCGAGCAACTTGGCACCAACTTCTAGCACGCTTATTGTACCCTTCTTGGACATCAAGTAAGTCCTTTTATGTTATAGAAAAGTGGCTTTATGTAGAACTTTTTTGGCTGAAAGTTTGGACACATTTTAGGTGGCAAATAGGTCCAATAGTGGCCTGATTTGGACCTTCTTCAAAAGATGTCTCTTGGGATCCAATACTCCTCTTCTTGGACATAAATTTGGGTCATCAAACAATTATAACACCTAGCCAATTCACATCCTTTATCCTTGAGTTCTTCCTCCCAATTAACAACTTCTTTATTTGCACTTGAAGTCTAATCACCTTGTTTTGCAACTCTTTAGATTGCCATCTTGTTAAAGGCCCTCTTTGAGATTTCAAAGCTTCATCCTTTCCCTTGAATAGATTTGAGCTTCTTAGGATGCTATAAATTGAGGTTCCAAATAAGTTTATCCTCAGAGCTGCTAGAAGCGGGGATGAAGGTGAAGTGAATAACACTTTTAATATCCATGGGGATGGGATAGTGAAAAAATCCATGTTTTATTCCCCATTGTGGATGATGGAGCTTATCTTTAGGGTCAAGTCAGAGCTTTGCCAAGGCCTATGGAGGATTGAGTTTAGGGTTGTATATTGGGGATCTAATTATCAGGAAAGAAGTTGACTCTATCCCCTTTATGGACTACACATCTAGAAGCCTTAATACATACCTTACATCCTTATTGAATGCATTGCCAAGTCCTAGTCTTAGGTTTAGCCCTAGCCTGTCTACCACTATTGATCTTACTTATTAGGACTCTATCCCACATTGAGTCCTTGTTCTGGTATAATCTCCAAGCTAGGCTAGTCAAGCTGGCTCTGTTTTTCATCTGGGCTTGCTGAAGACCAAGACCCCCCTGTTCTTTGGCTTAGTAATTGTATCCCATTTGATCATGTGTAGTTTCTTTTTCTCAGCCGTTATGCACCATATAAAGTTTCTTTGTATTTTGTCTATCTGATTGGTTAAGGGGGGAGGGGGAGGGTAGTTTTATATAATTCATCCCATGGCTGGGGATACTTCCCATGCTTGCTTTTGCCAGGATTGTACGACCATCCATGTTTAACATCTTAGTTTTCCAGCCAGCTAGCCTAGTGTTCATGCTATCAATAATGAATTGAATGTCTCTGTTTGTAGGCCTTTTGTGCAAATGGGAAAACATAGGTACTTACCAAATTCACAGCTTTTCCTAATTCCTAGTAGTAAGCTACAACTATTGGCCCAATCCTCCTTACAATTAGCTGAGAAGATAACCTTGGATTTCTAGAAGTTAACCTTATGGCCTCAGGCATTGCTGAACTCATCTAAGGTTGCCAAGATAGCATGACAATTCTTCTTATTAGCTCTATCAAAGAGGGTGAGATAATCAGCAAAGAAAAAGTGGGATATTTTGGGCCATTCCTGTTTTTGGTAATTGGTAGCCAGTCTGTTCTCAGGACTGCTTGGTCAATATTCCTAGAAAGTCTTTCCATACAAATAATGAGAAGGTTGGGGGAGACGGGGTCACCCTGACTGATGCCTTTAATAGGGTTGAAAGGCTCAATTTCGCTCCTATTGACTAGGATGGATATGGAGCTGGAAGATATACAAGAGAGGATCAAATTGGTCATTTTAGGTGGAAACGTAAAGAACATTAGGGAGTCACTAATGAAGGACTACTCAAGTCTGTCAAAGGCTTTTTCTAAGTCACTCTTCAGGACCATGTTAGCATTTTTACCTTTTATCTTTTGGAAGTGGGTGATGTATTCCTGAACAATTATGGCATTATCTGCAGCCCTCCTGTTTGATAGGAAACTGGCCTGTTGGGGCCAATTATGGTCTGGAGTAAGGGCTTTATCCTATTTACTATGATCTTAGTGACAAGCTTGTACATTGTGTTACACAACCCAATTGGTCTATAGCTCTTATGCATAGTAGCATTTTGACATTTAGGGATCAAGCATAGGAGAGTCCTATTAAATTTAGGTGGCATGGTTGAAGAGGTGAATACCTTCTGACAGAAGTTGTTGACTTGGGTAGAGAGAATGTTCCAGTATTTTAGTAGAAGAATGGGTGTAGCCCATCAGGCCCAGGTGCCTTAAAGGGTTTGAAACATTCCATGACCTTCTTAATTTCAGAGTACCTAAGAGGTTGTTCTAGGGATGCTCTCATACTATTAGGAAGGACTAGTTGGGTGTCCTCACAGTAGCTGCTTTTGTAGGTATATGAGACATGGGATGTGATGAAGAGGTTTGCAAAGTACCCTCTAGTAGCTTGTTTGATGAGCTAGGGATCTTTGATTTGATTACCTACTTCATCTGCTAAGCTTAGGATCGTATTTCTCCTTCTTCTGTTAATAGTAGTGGTAGGAAAGAATCTAGTGTTGGCATCTCCTTCGCACAACCAGCTTATTCTGGATTTGAACTTCCAAAAATCCTTCTCATTCTTAAGGATTGCTGAGAATTCAGCTTAGAGGTTAGATTCTACGTCCTAGAGGTAAGTACTGAAAGGGTAGGCATTAGATATTTGAATACTATTGAGCCTAGCTACAATTTGCTTCTTCTTGTGGAAGATGTTTCTAAAGACATGCCTATTCCAGGTGGTCACATTAGCTTTAAAAGTGTTTGTGTCCCCCAAAAGATCATTTATGGAATGGAAGCTACTATAAACGATGGAAGGGAATTCAGGGTGACTACAACACATAGGCTCTAATCTAAAAGGCCTCTTATGATCATTGTGATGTTGACTAGTAATGGTGAAGAGTAATGGGCAGTGGTCAGAGTAGGTCCTAGGGAGGTAGGTAACTGTTGATTCAGGGTATGACTCGATCCAGTCATTAGTGGCAAATAACCTATCCAGCCTTTCTAGGATAAGGTCTTGCCTATTGGTGTATCTTTTATTAGACCAAGTGTATTTAGAACCCTTGAAGCCTAGGTCAACTAGTCTACACTGGTTCAAACAGTTCCAGAATCGTGTGCTTCTACTATTATTAATGCTCTTGCCACCAAATTTGTCTCTGGCTTTTAGGAATTCATTGAAGTCTCCTCCTACAAGCCAGCTACCTTAATAAACAGAGGCCATATCATTAAGGGACTACCATAATCTTATTCTATCATGAATGTGGCTACTAGCATAAATAGCATTGAAGAGCCATTTAGAGTCATCAAGGGTTACCTTAACCATGACATGCACACCCTGGAGTGTGTTACAGACTTCCACTAACTTCAGTGGGTCATCCTTCCACGTAATAGCAATATCCCCAGATTGCCCTATGACAGGGGACTGAAACTGGGCTGTGAACTGGAGCTCAACAGTCAGGTGTGCATGGTCAGCCATTCTTGTCTCTAGGAGAACAAGAACAGAAAGGTTGTTCATGGTCAAGTCCAGCTTGACCATGGAGGCACAATGCTTGCGGAACTCAGCACTATTGGCTCCCCTCGCATTTCATATTATGAAATTCATCAATAATGGGTTTTGAGATGGGGCTTTCCTCTTGAGGCCTTTCCTCTTTACCACAAGGGTTGCTTTCACTCTTCCCAGCACAGGGCTTAGGGCTACTGCCGAGTTCCCTGAGTTTGGATATGATGTAACTCTAAGATTTAGTTTGCAACTTGTGAGTTGTCTAGGGCAGAGAGCAATAAGTATTTCTTCGAACGACTCTTTGAACTCGATCTCCTGAGTTTCTTGCATGAGGAGTACTCTTGTTTTTTGGACTCCTAGTTTTTCCAAAATGTTTTCTAGATTTACGTTGGACTCCATTAGGTACACTAGGGTCTGGTTCTTGTCTTTGATTATTTGGTCCATTGCCGTGGACTAAGTCGGGGTTTGAGGGACCGACTGGTTTATGTTTAGGTCCATAAACAGAGTGGTGTGTTTAGGTCCATAAGTGGAAAAGGGCATTTTTTGGCATAGT